CCGCTGCCCCCTGCCCCTCGGTGCTGCCGCTGCTGCTCCCCCGCCTGCTGTTGCTCCTCCATCTCCAGATCGGATCACGGTGAGGGAAAGATGAGCGAGGAGACGGCGACTTCTGACAACGAGTAAGCGCCTCATTGATCTTAATTGCTACCCCCCCCCACACACACACCACCCCAGCCCTTCCTCTGCACTCCCCTAGACCCCTCGGAGACTTGGGTGCCGGAAAGCTTGCAGCCCTGGAGAGTTCAGTAGCTCTTGTTCTGGAGACCACTGATTCTCTTAGCCGTGCTATTTAATGGCACCCCCTCTCCACCCCCCGCACTTAGTTGCCTTCTGCTGGGGAAGGGTATTAAGTGTTGGGGTGGGGTAGCGATTGTATGGTCTTGAAATGGGGTATTGTGGATGATTGGAAGTGGAGTGGAAATTGCCCCTTTGCCTGGAAGACTCCTTGGCCTGTCCTTTTTTGCTGTAGCTTACTAGCCAGCATACCTTGAATATCCATCCTGCCTTCTTTATAAGCTATTTCATTTGGAAACTAATGTGTGGGAGCACCTCCTGCAGCAAACTGCTCTTGAATCTTAATTTGATGAGTCAGTGACTCTTAAATACCGATTAAGCCTTCACTCCCTCCCCCCCCTTTCAACTTATGACCTATAGGATTCTTGTAAAAGAAAAAAATAGGGTTAGGGAAACATTTTTAGAATTTAATAGGATTAAGGACACCTGGAGTGTGGGAGATGTTGAGCTATTATGTTTACCTTTGCGAATACTGAAAGTGTGAAGACACTATGTCAAGAAGTTTGAATGCTGATTTTTTACCCTCCAGCTATTCTAAAACACACCGTTTACGTTGAGTTAACAGAATTTACATTGCTGAACATGTGGGTGACTTCATCAACTTCTAGAGCATTCCGGTTTTGCTTATTTGGCTGTCTTTATGTTTTCCAAACGAAATAATTTGCCTTTTGAATATCTTACTTTAACATAACAGCTGCCTAGACAATAATGGTGTGGTAACAGATTTTTCTATAGAGAAGGATTAAATTCCGTGCAGAATATAGCATCCTTTTTCTTGTAATTCAGTTCAAGTTTTGTTTGTCTTTGGAGGATCGCAAAGAGTTAAGTGAGTTACGACTAGTCCTTAGGATGCATTCCTTTAAATAAAGTGCATTCCTCAAGTCAGACCTTTTTGAGAGAACTTTAAAGTCCAATGCCGAGGTCCGTTTAACATAAAATAGCTAGAGAAATGTCAGGCAGCCTTCCCTCTCCTTACCCCAATCTCCCCAGCACCCGCCCCCACCCCCCGCGGAAAAAAAAAAAAAGCAGCACACGCTTCTGATGAGCGGGTGTAGAAGGAGGTAGATTGCTGCAGTGTCAGTGCAGTCTGGAAGCAGAAGTGGCCGCCATGTTCTCTCTCTTTTTGTGAATCGCCCTCATTTGCATAGCACACTCTTCATTCATAAAAAAATAATTAAACATCCATCACCTTGGACATCTTAAAAGGATTTCCCAAGAAAAAAAATTCAGAACGTGTTTGTCTGTCCTCATATAGATTTTTGAGTTTAGGAAGTAAGGCGAATTTGAAGTTTTAGATTAAATTTAAAAACATACGCACACACAAACAACCACCCCTGTTCTCAGGATGTTGACACAGTTATGTGGGAAATATCAGTTCGGGGAGGTGCTGGGATCACGTGACCGCCTCCATTCATAAAATACCTGGCTGTCCATTCACAGTGCAGTACACTGTCTCACTGCCTTCCGCAGATTAGACCTATTTTTGAAGGAGAACAAGAAGTCTATCTCAGATAACGCTTCGTTAGGCGACAAACTACTAAAAATGCTAAACGCAATGACGGTAACTCTCATCGATATCTTTTAAGTAAGCAGCTTGGTTCAAAAAAGTGTTGGGTTCTGTTTTAGAGATGGGAAAATACTTCTTACCAACTTAATTTTTAAAAAGTGAAGTATTGAATATCTTCTTGTGACTGTATCTAATAAAGCAAATGATGAGATGTGAATTAACACACGTGTTAAAATATTGTTCCTCCAATATCTTTTTTTGTACTTGCCATGAATAAATAGTGTGCACGGTTTTTTTGTTTGTTTGTTTAGTGATACCAGTGGATGATACTGTTGTTACACTAAAATGAAAGAAATACTGCCTTTTTTCACCTTAGTCCTGAATTTACTTAGTATGAGACAAGTTGGAAATGATGTCACTCAGACTTTTAAATTGCTTTCACAAATTTATCTTGCTTTTATTAATAAATTATCTCCTAGGAGCTTTGTAATACTATTAGTTTGGGTAGAACAAGAATAATAGATTTTAACATATGATATTTCAATTTATGGTGTTAACTCTTTACAAAGACAAAATCTTGGGGGTTTTACCTTTAAAAACTTTTATTTTAGAAAGCTATGTGTTCATCTGTTAATCGATTTTACTAGAGCTGACATTGTTTCCTTGTGCATTAGCTAAACCACAAAGAGTGAAATTCTTTGGAATGAAGCTTTTAATCTGACAATTTAAATTTCCTTTTTACTATGTGAAGGAACCTTTTGAAATGGAAATTTATTATTTATGATCATATATTATGAAGAAACAAAAGATTTATTATGGCAGAAGCCCCTAAAGCTTTAGCATAGCTTAAAAATGCTCTGCATCATGGATTTTGTGTCTTACATGTATTTTTTTCTCTCCTTTCTCCCCTTTTTAATCTACACTTGTTAAGGGTTCATTATACGGGAGGCTGTTCTTAAAACTCTTGTTATTACCTTTTACCTAATTTCAACCTTAAAAATAATGAAAATTACTGATATTCTGGGAAACCATTAACCTTTTCTACATTGCCATTGTGGTAAAATCCAGTAAGGCCTTTAGAGGCTTTGTTCTGATATCTTGTAGTATGTGCTGCATTGCTTGAAATTACAGTTCTTTGTAGGG